ACAATATTGTTTGACTTGGCATCAGAGCCGACTTTCTGGTGACCTGTGTGTGTTGTGGCCACTCGTGTTCTACTGTGTGCCCTAATTTCTTTTAGGGTTCTTGTGTCTGTGCCTTTGTCGTGTTCCGCTGTGTGCTCTGTCGTGTTCGTGCGTCTACTGTATGCCTCTACTGTGTTCGTGCATCTGCTTCTACTGTGTTTGTGCCTCTGTTTTCTTCGTGCATCTGCCATATTTGTATCTGTGCTGTGTTCTGTTGTATACTCTACGTGATTTGTTGAGTTTCTGCTACAATCATGGGTGATAATTCCATTGTTGGTGCTGCTGCTGCTTCTGCAAATTTGCGTGTTTCTGACTCTATTCCAGGTACTTGCTCCAATACTTGGATAATTGACACTGGTGCTTCTGATCATATGACTTATGATGCTAAATTTTTGGATGAGTTGTCTAGTAACACTCGTGACCCATACATAACTAGTGCTAATGGTTTACCCTCTCCAATTACTGGCGAGGGCACCATTTCTCTCACCCCAACTCTGTCATTGTCTCGTGCGTTATTAGTTCCCAATATCCATTGTAACTCGTTATCTGTTGGTCGCTTACTTGATACACTTAATGCTTCTGCTACTTTCTATCATACTCATTGCTCTTTTCAGGATCTCAAGACTCACGAGGTGATTGGGCATGGTAAACGGATAAGGGGGTTGTATTATGTGACATTACCTTCTGCACCAGTTTGTGATCGTGTCGTTAATACTGTTCAACGTTGCAATGTCAAAGACAAACAACAAATTTGGTTATGGCATCGTCGCTTGGGACACCCGTCATTTGGCTACCTTAAGCGTCTGTTTTCATCTTTATTTCGTTCCTGTGATGAGTCTAGCTTCAAATGTGAGACTTGTGTAATGACCAAGAGTCACCGTACTGTTTTCCCCTTAAGTAATAATAAAGCTGCTTTGCCTTTTGAGTTAGTCCATTCTGATGTATGGGGTCCTGCTCGTGTGACTTCAAATGGTTTCCGTGGGTTTGTTACGTTTATTGATGATTGCACTCGCTTAACATGGGTGTATTTGATGAAGAATAAACATGATGTTGCCTCTATTCTCCCTGATTTTTGTGCCATGGTGTCTACTCAGTTTCATGCTCATGTTAAAGTTTTTCGGACCGATAATGGCGGTGAATATGTGAATCATAC